CGCGGCCATGGGACCCTGGGCCCGTCTCCTCCAGGGACATTGGCCCGGTGCTCCCCTGAAACAGCTCGGGTCCCGCTCATGTGGGCTGTGCTACCTTCTTCGGCTCAGTGTCAGCGTCCACTTAGCTCGTGGCCAGTGTTGCCCTTGGCCATTGTTAATGTTTTTACGGGTGAGCCAGACGAAGGCTCCCCCATCTGGCTTCTGGATCTGTGTTTTGGCTGGAAAGGTTTCCTCCACTCAGCCTCATTGCAAACATCCCTTTTAGTGCATTCGTGGTTCTTTCTTCCTGTCTCACAATTAGATCCTCTTGGGATCCATTGAAGGATTGATGGATCCATTGATCGCCAGGTGGTTTGATTCAGTAGAAGCTGTTTGTTTTGACTGACTTAGTACGAGTTTTTTGTTTCTTCTTCTTCTCTTCCTGCCTGCTCTCCTCCATCTTATCCTGCTCTTCCTCTTCCTGTCCTGCTCCTCTTGCTCCCCTTTGGGGGGGCCTCCTCCCCCACCCCCTCCTACTGTTTCTTCTATGTTTAACGGAGAGCAGACTTCACAGGCACCTACTGTGATCCAAAGGATCAAGATCTCTGTGTGCCTCGAGCTCCTGGACACTTCAGTGAAGAGCAGTGGGAAGACCAGAAATGGACAGGTGGCCCAGGGCTCCTCGGGGAGGGAGGACCCTGGACACGGGCAGGATTGCCATCGGCCAGGACTCATATTTTCAGCTATTCCCTCTTCCTCTCTCCTCATGTAACAATATTGTGTCTGGAGTAAGGACCAAGAGGAAATAAGTGGAAACTCCCAGGAATCTGATCGAGCTATCAAAAGAACATTGTAGCAGCAAGGTTATTTGTGTAAATCTGAGTCCAAGTCTTGTTTGTTCTTGATTAGAGCACACTTTCCAGCTAGATCAGCACCAAACCAATTTCTCAACTGAGATAAATTGAGGCCACGCTGTGTGATCAAGAGGTCAGGCAGGTATTTCATGAACCAGGTAGGCTGATTCAGCAGAAGCTATTTGTGGCACTCATGGCTTCCCCACCTCAGACTATCAGGCGTGCCAGGAGGGCAGGGTTGACTTTGGGACGCCTGAGCAGGAAGCCGTCAGAGCCATGGTCTCACATGACCTCTCACACAGAGGAGGCTCATGGCCTGAAGGCCAGTCTGGGGACTGGAAGCTGAAGGCCCCTCTAACGTACACACCAGGCATTCCCTTCCATAGGCACAGGAGTTGTTCGGCTTTTTCAGTTGACTGGTCGCCCAGTAAACTTTGTAAACTTGGATGAGGTTAGCTGAGCCAAGTGGACAGGAGGTCCAGAAATGATGTGGACAGTCCTGGCATCTGGGGACACACTGGCACCTCTGCAGGTTTCAGAGAAGCCCTGTCACTTCTGTAAGGCGAGCGAGGTTTCCTTACAATTGGTTCTTGACAGAACTGACTCCATTTTAGTTTGGTTTTGTGGGGTGCCTGCAAGAATTCCAGGATCCCTGGCCAGGTGCTCACGGCTGAATGGAGCCAGAACCTTCCCACAACTGCAGCCTCAGACAGAACAGAACAACATTCAAGGAGCCTGGCGCTGATGGGGAGCTGGGGGTGTCCGACGGAGAGGAAGTTTTCGAGCTGGTTTCTAGACAGATGAATTCTCACAGGGCGAGGTTGGTGGGGAGCAGTACCCCATGGGGAGGGAGCAGCCTGAGTGAAACCGGAAGACTGGGTATGATCAGAGAACAGAAAGTGGGAGCAGGAGGCCTCGGGCTTCTGGAAGCTGCCCCCCAGGAACTGGACCCAGAGTGGGTGCCAGTCCGAGGCCTCGCTTAGGAGCCAGAGCTGTGTCCAGATGCCCCCCACCTAGGGCAAACGTGTTTGTGAGTAAAAGGAGCAACATGATCTCCCCAACATGAGATGGGGTCGGTGAGACTTGGGTTCGGGCGCCACTGTGGACACCTGGGCTCCGTTTCCTTGCAAACAGGAACTTCCTGCTGGTGTCCTGCACTTACACAAGCAGGACATAGCAGGTGGCCCCTCCCCAAGTGTGTGCCCATCAGTGGGAGGACCTGGGGGACCGCCCATCACACACCATGTTTACGTGCATTTCAGCTTTTGGGCCCCCCAGAGAGAAGCACCAGGCACGGGTGGGTGTTCCAGTGCAGCCCCTGGTCGCCAGAGTGGCGAACACTCATGTGTGGTTTCTTCTTTCTCTCAAGGGTGAAATAAAGCCATCTGCTACCCCGCACACTGACTGGTGAGCGGGCAGAGGAGGCCCTGAGCCCTATGGCCAGTGCCATGGACCCAGACTCCAGCAGTGGAGACGACTCAGGTAGTCAACCCTCTTCTTTTGCTGGTTCCCACTGGGGCCTGGAATTGGGGGCGGCATCTCCAGGCTGAGTTCACCTCTAGGGTATCGAGAACTGAGAAGGGGGTGGATAAGTGACTCACAGCCCCCAACAGGTGTCAAGGGGAGCCCTCCACCTGGTCTGTGAAGGCATGTCCTCCCCGACCCCCTCCTCTGGGTGCCATGGAAACCTACTCCTTCCCCCCACACACAACCAGTGACAGAGAAGTGAGGCCAGGACAGTCCTCACGAAAGTTGGTAGACAGTGGGGGGTGGGGGAGAGGGGAGAAAAAAGGGGACCCAAGGCAGGGAAGGAAAGGGAGCAGGTAGACCAGCAGTCCTGGAGGGCTTCTCCTACCTCTGGCCCTTCTCCTGCCTTCTTGCCATCAAGGAGACCTTTCCATCCTCCCAGCAGGGGGTTGCAGGTCAGACTGGACCCCAGTCTGGTCTTAGCAACCTCCTACCTGTGTGACCTGGAACACCTTACCCAACTCACCTGTCAAATGAGAGTAACTCCCTATGTTCCCTGAGGATCAAACATGTATATGTGGCCTGGTTCTGGCCTACACATACTATGTAACCTTAGTGTTTGTCCTATCCCCTCCGATTGTGTAATCCAGGTGGAAATGACCCCCAGCCTCACCCATGGCTGTGTTAGGGACCTGCCCTGTCTCACAACAAGAAGCACCTGAGACCAGCTGGCTGTACCCAAGGTGGGGCTCCCTTTATCTCAGAGGCCCCTGCAGAGCTCTGGCTCTCAGCTTTCCCCTGGTCTGCCCTCACCTCCATCAGCAAACATGCAGACTGGGTGCTGGGGTCCCTCCCTCAAGCCCCAGGTCCTTTCTCCCTTCAGAACAGCAGCAAAAGCAAACCACCCTCCTCCTGTGAATCAGCTCTCAGTTCCCTGAGTGCATTTTCTCCAGGCCTTTCTCCTCTCTCACTGCATTGTCCTGGCTTCCAAATCAGATAACCCCAAGCCCCCAGGCCCTACCCCCATGTCCAGTCCAGGATAGCAACTGAGCTGAGTCACGCTGGAGAGCAAGGGAGGAGAGGGGAGCAGAAGCCAGAGCTCCCTGCAGACGGGCTCCTTGCCAGGGGGCCAGGCAGGGTGCTGAGGACAGCCCCCAGAAAGGGAGATGGTGTCTGGCTGACTAGGTGACCAGCTGGGCCCTTGACACCAGCCTGAGGTGAGGAGGTGCAGGTGGATCTGGAGGCTCCCAGCCAGGGTCCGGCCCCCACTGGGGAAGCCTTGAGACCCTGTGACCAGTGCAGGGGTTCGCTCTGCACAATGTATTACCCACTGCTGGGCACTTTGCAACATTAGTTTTAATTACAACAGCAACAACAGCCACACATATATATTACAGGGCAGAATGCAGAAATGGCAGGAATTATTTTAAATACAAGGAGGCTTCAAAGTCAAATGTCAGAGAGATGGCTCACGCTTGACCTTGGATTCAGTCCTTGGCCTCCAGCTCACTGGCTGAGTCTCATTTTCTTCTGTGAGTGAAGAACACATCTTGGTGCATGAAAGCAGGTCACACATTTCACATGATGTTCTTGGACACGCTGTGTGTACTGGTCCCTAGTGTCCATCTGCAATCCCATCACCCCCAAACCCCTGGAAACCACTCACTGGGCAGTCTTCTTGCCTTGAGCAAGATTCTGGCCTGAGACTATTTATATCGTTTGTCTCACTTCCTGCGCCATTCACTTGTTTCATGGCAAAAACAGGAGCCCATTTGCTCTGGGCGCAGTTGTCACCCTGCTGGGGGTCGGGGTGGGGGTAGGTTACACTCTTTGGGACTTGTATTCTCCCTCTAACGGATAAAAATGTCTAGATAAAGCACATCTAGATGTCAGAAATTAGATAATTAATTCAGGAGTCTGGAAGGCCAAGAGCGAGGTGCTGTCAGGGTTGATTCCTGGTGAGACTCCCTGGTTTGCAGGTTGTCACTTCTCTGTCCTTACCGCACGTGGTGTGTGTGGAGAGAGGTCTGGTCTCTTCTTATGCGGACACCAGGTTATCAGACGAGGGTCCACCCTCTGACTGTGCTTGACCTCCTCAACCTCTTGAAAGGCCCAGTCCGTCTCCAACTACAGTCACTTAGGTATCAGAACGTCAACACCTGGATCTGTTTAGGGACACAGCTGAGTCGTGACACAAGATGACGCCAGAGTACCCAGGTGACAGCTGTTCAGGAAGATTGTCACTGACACCTGAGACAGCACCATTTTCTCTCCACCTCAGCTGCCTTCTTTGTTTTCTCCATCTAGACAACGATTACTTTCTGGAGAATTCCATTGTTTATATCCTGGACACACTGAGCAATGAGGACCTACACAAGCTGTTGAGTGATGCTCAAGTCTGGGAGGAATTTGTGGCTGAGGCTGTTTTGTCCAGGTAACCTCAAGGGGTTGTCACAGGAACGTCACCGGGCTGGTCTCCTCCTCTCAGGCACGCCTCCTCTGGCAGTACCCTGTGATTGTGGTTATGGATGTTTCTCCTTAATAATCCATGTTCTCCGTGCCATTTGCTGGCAGTGACTAGCATGGGATTGAGAAGAGATGAAGTCTGTGGTGAGCACTAATGTGACCTTGGCAAGTGGCTCACCTACTCTGCCTTATCTTTTTTTTTTTAAAGATTTATTTATTTATTCATATAGAACTGGGTACAGGCCAGAGGCCAGAGATGTGGAGGGTGAGAGGATTCACCAGGGACAGGGTGGGGAGCAGAACAGGCAGATCAAGAAAGGACACCTCTGAGGGGAGCAGCGGGCGGGTCAGGAGACCTCCGGGGCAGGCGGGGATCGAACTCATGCTGAAGTGGCTTCAGCTTCTTAGTGCTGTGCTTTAACCCGCTGCGCCACCAGGGAGGGCCTGCCTTATCTTTTAAGTTAAGTTTCTTATCTTTTCAATGTTGTTGTGAGGAAAACAACAACAGGTAAATACAGGTAAAGTCCTCAGCATAATGAATGGTTCTGAGTAGTGCGGGTTAGTGTTCACTTTTTACAAGCTTTCTGCAAAGAAACAGGGTCCAAATGCCTTCTTCCTAGAGATGAGAACAAACAGGTTTTCCTTTGGGGTAACTCAAAAAATATTGCCACAATCACTACAGGAAGCTTCTATGCTGTCAGGTAGAAAGGCTGGAGTGGAGTTGGATAGACTTGGGTTAGGGCCTGATCTATTCCTTCCCTGCTCTGGGCTTATTCCTTTGTGTCTCAGATTTGTGTTCTGTCCAAGGGCAAGAGAAATTCAGTGTGATAGGATCATGGTGAAGGCCTTAGAGTGGATTGTGGAGTCAACAGTGAGGAATCAAACACCAGATGATCGTTAACCATCTGGTTCAGTGTTTCTTTCCTCTCTGATTTGATCCTCTCATTGCTGGGCCTGGAGGGTGGGAGTTGATTATTTCCTCCATAATCTTCCTGGGGGCTCAAGGGAATGTTGACTATCATTTGGGAGCCTCTTAGCCTCTTCTCTTCTCTACAGAGGGAGCCTCTTCTCTCGCCTGTGGGAAGGCAGTGTGGCCCAGGGACACCCCCATAGTCAGGCAGCTGTGAGGCTGCCAGTGTTGTGTCATCTGAAGGCTGCTGAGGAGACTGTCTAGTCCCCTCAGAAGAAAATAACAGCTCCAGCTCTCCAAATGGTGTCTTTGCGGGCGAGGTGATTCAGATCAGTGGGTTTTAACAGCCCTGACTTGTTAAAAGGCTCTATAAAGTTGCAATGGCCTGGGTATGTACACAAGAGGTGTGAGTTAGGCTGGTGACACTTGAAAGATTAGGGATAGTGGGTCAGAGGACAGAGAGGCATCTGGAGAGGTCAAGGAGAGCCATAGTTAGTAGCTAATATCCTGATTCCCAGTCATCAGGGGCCATGACTTGACCCAGTACTTTGCACCGAGAAGACTAATGGGCTTCAGACTTGGAAGAGAGCAGGTAACAGGCAAAATAATCATCAATGTCCCTTCTAGCTCTGATTTTTTTTTTAAGTCCAAGTACCCAGTGTGCCAAATTCCCATGACTGAGGGTACAGGACCCAAACATGAGCTTTTCACACCAACTGCAATTTTGAGGGTACCAAAACCACTCTCAGATTCAGTAATTCCCTAGAAGGACTCAGAGCTCAGTGAAAGCTGCTATACTCACTCAACTCAATAAAGTTACATTTTATTACAAATAACACATACAGGTTAAAATCATCAAAAGGAGAAACACAGAGTCTGGGAGGGTTTGAAATATTGTCATTTGACCCCAGAAGGCATTATTGTCCTATACTGACTGTGTAAAATAAGCATGCAGTGTAGCCAACAGGGAGCATGCCCTGTTCGAGAAAAACATTACCCTGACACTTGTTAAAACAGTACAGCAGGCCCTTCCTGGTGGCGCAGCGGGTTAAAGCACAGCACTGAGAATCTAAAGCCACTTCCCCATGAGTTCGATTCCCACCTGCCCCGGAGGTGACCACATGGCGAGGCAGACCTCTCCTGACCCGCCCGCTGCTCCTCTCAGCAGTGTACTTCGTAGATCTGCCTGTTCTGCTCCCCACTCTGTCTCTGGTGAATCCTCTCACCGCCCCTGAGCTTCTGGCCTGTACTCCAGTTCTGTATGCACAAATAAATAAATCTTTAAAAAAAAAAAACAGAACAGTACAGCAGAGCTTACTCAGGACTTTTGTGACAGTGTCAAGACCGATGAGAGAGACTAGGCTGAATACAACAGAACAGGTGAGACTTTTAGCCATCCAGGAGAGTGAGTGGGTGTGCAGAAAATCACCAGGAGGGCCCTTGGGCAGGAGGATTCTTGCTCAACAACAGGACACTTGCTGAAGACAGGTAGGTAGGTCAGGGACTTCTACAGCAGAAGTGGGACCTCTAGCTTCCTGCCACTCCCAGGGGTCAGGGCTGAAACCACAGAGCCCTACACCCTCGTCAGTGCTACACAGGCTAGTGAAGACATTCCCATCAATCAAGACACTCAAGAGACCTCAAGATCAAGGGCAAGGGCAAAGGCAGGTCTGTCTGTGGGTCACCTTAATTCTTCACTGCACACTCAGATTCTCTGAGCAAAGTTGCTTCTGCTCCAATTCTACTTCTCTTCGTTCTTACTCTACAAACACCTGGTGTAGTGAGAATATTCACCTGCCCTTCAGCAAATACCTACTATGACTTAAGAGCATCATAGAGTGACTTTTACCTACTTTCCGATTGAATAAATACGATGTTTGAAATATTTGTTGTTGATCGACAAGCTCTTTCACCTTGTAAAATTGTTTTCCATTTGACATATTATAAGAGCTCTGTAAAATCTAAAGTTTAGACCGTATTGAGTGTTGAGCACATTTTGCACGTAAGCAAATTGCCTCTTTTTAGCACCTGGCTTCCACTGTTACAGGGATGAAGCAGATGTGATATATGACGTTCTGAGTGCTCTTACAGACACAGACATGGAAGATAAAAATGAGCAGGAGTTTAGGAAGCACTTTCTGAAAACATACCCTCAGATGAGACAACAGCTTGAAGAGTACATAGCACAGCTCTATGAATTGGCAGCCAGGGCCGACAAGGTGCACAGAGACTGCATCATCGCCAACGTGGTAGCCAACTCTACAACCATTGTGTCTGGCATCCTCACCATCGTTGGCTTGAGTCTGGCACCAGTGACAGCAGGGGCCAGTCTGGCACTGACAGCAACCGGAGTGGGACTGGGGACAGCAGCTACTGTGACCACGGTGTCCACCAGCATCGTGGAACAGGTGAACAAGTCATCTGTAGAAGCTAAAGCTAATACCCTGTCAGCTGAAGTCAAAGTAGAGGACCTAATCAAGGATGTTCTATGTGACAACACATTCAAGATAGTTTCCACAGGAAAGGATCTTTGCGAAGGCGTGGGCAGCATTATGAAGAACGCCCGCGCCATCAGGTTGGTCCAAGCTAAGCCTCATCTAGCCCGTGCCTCATGCCTCACGTCTGGTGGGAAAATTTCAGCCCAAAGTGCCAAGCAAGTTGAGAAGGCCTTTGAAGGCACTGCTTTGGCGATGAACAGAGGAGCCCGGATCTTGGGTACAGTCACCACAGGTGTCAATGTTCTGATAGCTGTGGCCAGGCTAGTGCAAAACTCAAAGGACTTGCATGAAGGGGCAAAGACAGAGTCAGCAGAAAACCTGAGGCAGAAGGCCCAAGAGCTGCAGGAGAAGTTGGAAGAGCTGAACCAGGTCTACGAGAACCTGCTGTAGTGTCTGATTCTAGGACCCCCAGAGCCCCCTAAAGAGTAAGGATGAGGTGTGGTGGTCCCTTGTTAGAGAGCAAAAGAGTACAACATGAATTTTCTGGACCTGGGTGCTAAGAAATTTGGCATTTCCGTAGCGGATTGCACAAGGGTAGGGATAATGAAGCTGGTGTGAAAAGGCAGAACGCAGAGCTCGGAATGAGGTAGACGAGGAGACCAGAGAGCGAGGGGAATGCGAAGAACCACTTATTCTGGACTAAGCAAAACTGGGGGCCATGAATCAAGCGGTGTTAAGTGTCGGGCAACGAGAAGACCAGTAATACAGGAGAACTGAAGGAGAGAGAAAGTTAAAGAGTTAAAATTGTGGGACTATGGGAAAGGCAGAAGTGGCCCCTCTGGCAACCCTCCCCGTGGTTTGAAACCCTGGAGAATATAGTCTCCCCTGGTTTTAGTGTCTGATCCAAGCCTTCCAATGTGAGCTTACTTTTTGTCTTTGGTGGTGGTGGTGGTGGTGGTGGTGACATATGGTGAATTACTGGTGTTCTTTGGGACCCGGTTGTCCTTGGGAGCAACTGAAGACCAAAGACATTCCAAATGCTGTGTTGAAGCAGAGACTGATTTTTTTTAAGGGGGAGAGAGGCGGAGATTGACACCAGATCCCAGACAGGGCAAGGAACTTGATGCGTCTCAAGATCAACCATCTTGTAATCAAGCAATACAACATCTCTGAGCCTCAGTTTCCTTACCCACTGGAGAAGCTGCTGGCAAAGATGATATTTCATAAATGTCTGTTTCTCTCCCTCTTGCACTTTATAGACCGGTTCAATAAATAGGGTGATACGCTGAGCCTTTATTGTGTTGATGGTCTTCCCTGGGTTCTGGATTGGCGGGCAGCACGTGAGGTCAACTATAGGCAGAAGGGCTTGTTTGTAGGGGTGGGAGAGGGTCACCTATAAATGAAGAGACAGAGAGAGACAGATAGACAGCAACATCATCGCCCCAGCCACCCCTCCCTCTACTGAGGCCCCCATGAGAGCTTCCCCTGTTGACCCTGCCCATCCTCCACACTGGGCCAGAGTCACCCCCAGGGCCTCCTTCTCACTCTTCTTTGGCTTCATGTGACTTCTAGCACCAAAGCCCCCTTATTCCAGGATAAAGTAGCCTATGATAGCCTGCAGTTCCCTGAATGCAGAGGTGAAGCCAGGAGCAGGACCGGGGGTAAGGCAGCAGACGAGAGCGACTCAATCTGACACACATTCTTAATTTGGTCACCCATGTGGGCTACTAAGACCTGAGGAACCCTCGTGGAGTCCTTGAATTCCTCCTCTCCGAAGAGGCACTGAGAAGCATCTGGGCACCCCTGTCATCTCCCAAGGTGGGGAGGGGCTTCCTCCAGTGGACATTAAGCATGGAAATGCAAAACCTTTACCTATCACTAGAGCCTAGGTGGGAAGCCAGGGGCAGAGGACATACAGAATGACTCCAGCACATCTCCTGAGTCACTCACACAGTGCATCTAGTGCTTAAGTCCTTTTGCAGACAAGTGTTCCTGTAGGACACTTCCCCGGCCCCCTGACTCCCGTCAGGAAGCGTTTTCTGAGGCCTGCATGCTGAGACGTCCATTTCCTCCTAATGATGTCAACAGCCAGGGCCACTCCCTTGCCTGCATCAATACTTCATCAGTTATCGATAATTCACATTCATTCATAGATTTCACACGGACAGTGAGTACTTCAGGTACTGAGTGACGGAATTACCTGGCAATCCACCCCCCACCCCCAATACTTATCGTTGAATCCCATTTTGTTAAAGGTGCATTTCATGCAATTCCTCTAACACTTGCTTCAGCTGAACGTCCCTTGTTAGCAACAGAACTGGGTCAGGAGCACGAGAACAGAAAGAGGATCCATGGGAAGAGAAACTGGAAAAAAAAAAAACTAGAAAAATGCACGGAAGGTTACACCTTTTGACAAGGACAGGAGCCAAGAGGCGTCAGTCTTTAGCCTGATGAGCTGCCTTGAGGGGCCAGGCGTCAGCTGACTGAGATCAAACACAGGACTCAGAGGTCTCTCCCCTGGTCCAGTTCTCTACACCTTGAGCTTCAATTTGCCAAGTCTATTATTGTGCAAGTCTTCGGAATTCTCGTCATGCGCGGCCCTGGCGGGCTCTCTTGTATTTCAAGAATGTCCTCAGGATCTGCACCTCTCCACTTCCATGTCTTTCCTTAGGGGGTCTGAGCTGAAGTCTAGCAAATGACCTTATCAACTAGGAGAAGGTGTGGCCCAGAAAATGAACTGAAGGAGGGGCCAGCCTAGGCCAGTGAGGGCAGGAGACCAGGCCAATGGGGGCAGGAATGGGGTGGGACAGAGAGCTGAGAGGTGGGGCCTCCCTCCCACCCCGCTGGCTCTCCCATCATTCACTCATCAAGCTCTTATTGACACCACTCCCCTTCTCTGTACCTAGCAGATCTTGTCCGGAGTTCGGAGTTCGGAGTTGAGGTAAGCGCTGGTATAAAAGCTCCCAGTCACGCCTCTCTGTGCTCACCCCATTCCTGCCCCTCCCTCCCTGTGCCCTTCGCAATCCTGAAGTGCTGGCAATGCCCACACCCCTCGGGTGTTCCCCCTGCAGCCTTGAGAGCCCGCCCTCCTTCACCGGGGCCACCGCCTGCTCGGCCTCACGGGCCCTCAGCACATTCACCTCCTCACTGAGCCTCCTCATCCCATCTCTTGGTGCAGTTCTGGGCTCCCCTGGGCTCCCACCTCCGCATGGGCCCCTCCTGAGCAGCTGGGCACAGCAGATGCCCTGTGACTACGGACTTGTGCGTGGGTCAGCTGCCGTGGTTCCTGCAGCCCTGGCTTGGGGGGTGGTGGCTGTGAACCTCTGAACCAAACCGAATGCATGAAAGGGAAGAGGACGGAACTGGCTTGCTTTTAATCTAATCAATGGTGTGAGGCGAGTTTTTATGTAAATGTAAAAAGACACGGCACAAGTATATCACCCCCAATGCTGCCTTGCAAATCTACTTCTCTCGGCAACACCTGGTTGGCACCTTGTCACTATAGTGACAAAATACAAATATAGAATGACACATGCAAGTATTAGAGTAAACTGTTTTGCGGAATTATAGATAAATGGAACTAGACGGCGTGTGGGGGGCTGTCCGTCTTGGGGTGGGGGGAGGGGGGAGAGTGCACGCGCTTCTCCCCCCCCCATAATGAGTGTCATTCACGTCGTCATTTGTTTAATAGTTGAGTGACATATGGGTGGACGGCACTTGTTTGATCCAGTTGATAGACATTTGGGTGACTTCTACTCCCAGACCACTGTGAATAAACGTCTCTCTACTCCCGACTGCCCTCCTCTGCCACCCTAAGATGGGCACTGACCTCACACTGCCAAGTGGAGCATCTGGAGCCCCAGAGAGAAGGGGTTGCCGTGGTGCCACAACTGGAACCAGAGACCCTCCCCGGAACAGGCTGGGCCCCTCCCTCCGCGCCCCGCCCCACCCGGCAGCTCAGAACCCACCCAAGCCTGAATCGCACGCAGGAGCGAAGGCCACAGCACCGCCTGCTGGCGACGTCGAAGAAATTCACGCAATTTAGTAGCTTATCCAAACAGTTAAAGAATTTTTTTAAATTTCGTTTTTGAAAGAAACAGAAGCCCACGGTGTACTGACATCATTCTACTAGAGGTATTTGAGCATGAAAACAAAGATAGGAGTCACCTCCCCTGTGGCCCGAACGCTTGTTCTACTCCAGGGATTTGGGGTAGGAGAGGCCGGCCGCTTGCCCAGCGTTTAGTAACCAGAGGGCACACAGCTGGTGAATGCCAGGCCCAGGGTCAGGTGTATCTGGGGCTCTTCTCTAGGTTGGCCGGCTGAGGAGCAGGGCTGAAGTCGAGCATGATCCCCAACTTATTCCTCCTGATCTCATTCTCCCTTTGGGTGTACCTTGATGCTGAGGGGCACCAGGAGGTAACTCAGGCCCTCAGATTGCAGTGGCACCTGCAGAGGTGATGACAGCTGGGCCTTGCAGGTCCGTGACCCAGCGCTTGGAAAAAAGAGAGAAGGCTCAGGGCCTTCCTCTTCCCTCATCCTCAAAATAACCCTTTGAAACGGGGTGATCGTCCCCACTGGCAAATTGAGAAAGTGAGGCATAGGTCGCTTAGATAATTCATTGGAGGCAGCAGGGCCAGGATTCGAACCTCACCTGAGTGCTCTCTGCTTCGGGTGCCCCTGGGGGAGCGGGGGTGCAGGTTGTGGGTCTTGCAGATTCTGCAGTCTTGTAGACTCTTGGAGCTCTTGGGACAAGCCAGCGGACTCCCCAAGGCAGCAGTTGTGGGGTGCATCTTGTTTCCTAGTAACAGAGGCTTCTTGTTGACCTACTCTGCCTAGCTAGCACACCCTTATTAGCTTCCTCAAACTCCTTTGACATGGCAGCCGTGACTCTGGACAAACAACCAGCTCTGGGAGCCCACAGGCCTCGGGAAACTGCCCGGCGAACCTCAGGGCCTTTGCCCTCCTGGCCTCCAGAGCACATGGGGAGGACTGACTGCTCTCCTGGAAACAGGCGAGTGTGTGTCACCCCGGCAAACTGAGAACAGAGTGCCGTCCTTTCCCAGCCACCAGGGGCAGGAGGTACTTTCACCTACATCAGTTCTCCAGGCCAGTAGACACCTGCTCAGGCCTCAAGAGAGACCTGCGCTCTGCCCCGAAGCCCACGAAGGACGAGTGGGCAGCGTGCAGGGCAAGGGGTCCTGTTGGCAAGGATTGTGAAGGCTCATTTGCCGTTTGGAAGGGCTTGGGGATCACCTCTCTGGTTTCCCTGTCATTACCTGCTAACCCGACACAAAGGGACGTGCCCTGTCCTCACTCAAGGACAGTCAAGGAAGGCTTCCGGGAGGTGGTGGCACCTGTGCTCACCATGAAGGTGACCCAGGGTGGAGAGGGGTGGTGAGGGAGGTGATGGCAACAGGGTCCAGGCAGGGGGCCGCCTGAGCCAAGGCCCGAGGCCCAGGGACA